TTGTTTCTTTCATGATGTATACCTTGCTATATACAAATCAAATAAAGAAATGATGTTTACCTACAAAAAAAAAAAAATAAAATAAAATAAAATAGGCAATCAAGAAGAATTGAAGAATTTCATTTAATTAAATTAATTAAAATTAAAATTCAAAGTATATAGAGATAGATTTAATTATCATGTAATATACAGTATATCGATATTAATAGATTTAATTATTTTCTAATGTATATCAATATCTATATAATACAACTTTTTAATTAAATCATATGATTACCTCACGTTGGATTATACAGCAGAGTTTTAGTTGCTATTTTTGGCCGCAGAGGAGATGTTGTTTATGTACTACTCGTGATGCACCCCTACGGCACTTGTGTGTCACCTGTGCAGGTGCGCCTACAATGATTTTAAGTGAAATTTCCATACTATAGTAATTAAATAGATTTTCGGATTTTATTTCCGGTATGTGGAATTCGAAAGCCGGCGAAAATCGGAAATTGGAAAGAATAAAAATAAAATAAATAAATAAAGTTTGTAATTATATTCAAATTTAGATATAATAAAGCTTTCGATTTAATTAGTAAAAATTTATATAATAAAATTCCCTTTTTATAATGAATTTTGAGTAAATTCAAAATTCAAAAATTCATTATAACCAGCATTTTACAGTATTATAGCTTCGTTATAAACAGGTTTATTATATCCAGGTTTGACTATAAACAAAAACTTGTATTTTTATTAATAAATATTGAAATTTTCAATATTTAAAATTTTATTTTATTTTATTTTTCACTCAAATTTCGCGAATTCGTGACGATCCTTATTTTTTTATAGTTTGTGGATTTTCTTGAAAATTATCGATTTTATTAAGATAAAATTTTAGTATGTTATAAATAGATAGATTTTATATTAAAATATTAAAATATTATTTAAATTGTTTTGCTAGCTTTCAAGAAATTTTTATTTAAACGATAATAAATCATCTCTAATATATATTAAACATGTGATATGTTATATTTTTATACCAATGTAAGGAATTTTTAAATTCGTAAATTTCACTAGAAATCATTGTAAGCACACCTGTAAGGGTGCCACATGAGTAGTGCATAAACAACACCCCCTCTGCGGCCGAAAATAGCAACTAAAACTCTGCTGGATTATATCTCATGTTGGTCCCTCACATTTAATGACAGATCAAAAAAATATATTAGCGTGAGGAAGCCTTTAGCTAATAAAATTATATTATTTTCGGATTGATATATTATTTTTTATTGTATATTGTATCACGAAGTTGTCATGCTATCGCATCTAATTATTATCTACGAAGCAGGATGTTCTGTATCTAATGTGTACAGATTGAACAATCCGATTTTGTATATGTTTCATCAGTATTTACATATTAACAATAACCTTTATCATCAGAGGGTTCCGAGTTAAAATCTAAAGAATTATCGGGTTCATCTACCTCTTCCTCCAGTAAAGATTCAACTTTCTCGCTTATATTATTATCCTCATTTACAGTTTCTGATTTATCCTTTTAAATTACTCCAGTAAATATGTTCACCTTCTCCAGCGGTAAAGATTTGTTATCCTCACTTATCTTTCAAATTAGACGTATTAGACAATGGGATAAAGAAAGCAGATGTTTCTGAACTTTTATTTTCCTTCTCACAAGAATTTTGCCAATCACTTCATGAACTCGGTTCACAAAGTTGCATTACATGTGTTAATACAGAACTTTCTCATCATCCCGTAACTCAGCCAGAGGCAAGCTCACATTAATGCTATAATATAATCAAAGGATACATTATATATAATATACTGAGTTTCTATTTTTGTTAATTTAGATATACTATCAGCAGAAAGGGAATGAATGTGATAAATTTTATCCATACCTATTGCATCAAAAAGTTTATAAAGCTTCTTTGCATTTTCGATCCTCTTACGTAAAAGGCTATCAGAAGTGTCTGTGAGTAACTGTGCTTTTACTTTTTTATTTAAAATTCTACCAACAATATTGGATTCTGAATCAACTAGCCTTTCCGATGCTATTTCATTACGTCTTTGAATAAGTGCCTTTCCAAATAGGCAATAACACGTGATAGCTTCTTGGGTTTTACGATCAGCAAGAATTATAGCATCACAAAGTTTTTCATATAAAAGCGTAAAGTTAGTACTGCTGGGCGCTTCATCCTGGGTAGTAGTCGTCACATCCCTATCTATATTATAATTATTAATAGAACTTGAGTTTTCATAAATTTCTGATAGTTCTTTTCTCTTATTTTCTCACCAATCTTTTCTTTATGTACGCTATCCAGGAAATCATTAATTTTCTTCTCTTCCAATGATGCAGCTTTTATAGTAATACTGTAGAAGACGTGGAGGATCGGCTATTCTTTTTCTGGTATGTATCAGAATCAGATGTTATATCAGAGCTATTTTCTATTTGTTCGGGAGTAATATTGGAATTTGAAGTATTATCAGGTATATTATATGCCGGAGTATCGTTAGAATTTACTGGAGATCGAAAAACATCTTTTGTAAAAATACCTTAAAGAGCTTGGCATTTAATTCCCCTAATGAATAGTTGGATTGCATGTTCGATAATAATTTTATATAAGATGAAATAATTTAAAAGTTCATTAGCATGGATAAGCATACGAGGTATTATATTGATCGGAATTACTCGGTAATACATAAACTTGTTTACAAAGTTAAATGGCGTTTCTATACTAATTTCTATAGTTTTTCGCTTGTCTACAATACTAATACACATTATCCTATCCCGAAATTTATGTTGTAAAAAATGCCGGCTGTGACGCAAAATCAATCGTGACGTAAGTAGTGAAGATCACCTGTTTTTAGCTAGAATATGTATAAATTTGGTAAGTTTCCATACGTATAGTATTTTTTTTTTGTAAACCGAAACTGGACTTATATAGAAAAATGAATGGAAAGAAACGTCCGTTAAGCAGTCCTTTAATAAGGTCTTTATTTGTACTTACTGGAAATCTGTTTTAAATTCCGTTTTAACTTGATTTTTCACGTTTGCAGATATACCGAAATTATGCTAGGTTGTATCGTTTTGGGCGAAGAGAACGCATTTCCTGTTGATTTTGATATAGGAAAGACTATCGAACATCTCAAGAGAGCCATCAAGGAGAAGAAAAATGTGGCCCTTGGCAATACTGACGCAAACGCTATGAAATTATGGAAAGTCAATATTCCTGAAAGCAAGAAACATGAGTTACATGAAGAAATCGATATCAAAGTAAAGTTTGGAGGTGAGGAACTGGATAGCGATCTCAGAACTATTGGAAGTTATTTTAAAGGGCAACAACCTACTGCTGAACACATCCATATCATCGTGCAACCGCCACTGCCCGCCACCACTG